TAAGGTTTTAATTTCCAGTTGTAACTACTTACATGGAAAAGTAGATTTGAAAAAATGTATTAACTTTTTTGTATCTGCTAAACTACTCTGGGAGATCTTTTTATCTTAGGAAATACTTTCTTTTTTTTTTTTTTTTTTTTTTTGGTGGAACCTGGGATTGAACTCAGGCCCTTGCGCTTGCCAGGGAAGCGCTTATTCCACTGAGCCATCTCCCCGGCCCCAGGAAATACTTTCAAATTTTCTGTCAAGACAATTATTCCTCCTTGAATACAGAATTATTTTTTCCACCTTCTAAATTCCTTTCCCCCCTTGCTTTGCAGTGTTAAATAGAAGTGGGAACACATCTTTGCCTTGTTCCTGGTGAGAGACACAAGGTTCAGTTTGGTACCATAATAGACGGCATTAGTTATAGATATCCTTTAGTGGTCGGGGTTTTATTGCATTCCTAGTTTGTTGAGCATTGTTCCTTTAATCACGAATGGGTGTTGAATTTTGTCAAATGCCTTCTGGTGTCTGTTTAGTGATCACATAGTTTGCCTTAGTCTGTGGATATATTAAATTAGGTGGGTTTTTTTTTTTTTTTTAATTTTAGGATAGGGTCTACAGGGTGTTCAGGATCTCACTACTAGTTCGGACTTGTAGCAGTTCTCCTGTTTACAGCCTCCCAAGTGCTGGAATTACAGGTGCACATCACCATGCTGTCTCAGTTGCCTGCTCAGTGCGGCCCCAGGGGCAGGGCTGGCACGGCAGGCCTGAGCTATCTGGCCGGTCCCTGATTTTTTTCTTTTTGGATATTACATTAGTTTTATATTTCTTGATACATGCCATGTGCCATTTTTTGAAATATATCACAGAATTTGATTTTATAACATTTTGTTGAGAATTTGTGTGCCTTCATTCATGAGAACTAGTTACATGGTGTTCTAATATCTATTTTGCAGCTTTAGTATCAGGGCAAGGATTGTCTGTTGGGATGGATTGGAAAATGTTTCTGTTTTTTCATTTCCTGAAGTTTGGAGAGAATCCATTCTTCATTAAGTGTTTTGTAGAATTCACCAGTAAAGCAGTGTTTTCTTTGTGGGAAGGTTTTTAATTCAATTTCTTTGGTAGATGAAGAGCTATTCAGGTTACTATTTCTTCTCAAGTGAGCTTAGTAATGTGTATTTTTAAAAGAAATTATTCCTTTCATTGTAGTTGTCAAATATTTTGGCATACAGTATTCTTAATATTTTTCTTTCAACATCTGTGGGCTCTGCAGTAATAGTTTCTTTCTTGTTATAGATATTAGTTATTTGTGTCTTTTTCTTTTTTTCCTGGCCAATTTGGCTAGAGTTTATCAGTAAACCTCAAAGAACCAACATTTGATATAACCGATTTTTCCATTGCATTGATTTCTATTCCTTATCATTTCCTTTCTTTTAGCTTAATTTGTTCTTTCCTGGTCTTTTAAAGTGGAGCCAAGACAAGTGATTGGAAAACCACCTTACTATTGAAGATTTGATTTAATTCAGCATGGATTTTTGTGGGGGCTTTGTTTGTTGGACTTTTTAGGGTGTTTTTGTTTTTATTTATTTATTTATTTATTTATTTTTTAAATATTTATTTATTTATGTGTGTGTGTGTGTGTGGCCAGCTCAGCCCACCAGGGGATTGAACCGCGGTCCCTGTGCTTTGCTAAGCTTGTTCTAAGTAGGTGCTTTAGACCACTGAGCCATCTCTCCAGCCCCTGTTTTTGTTTTTAGACAGGTTTTTGCTATGTATTTCAGGTTGGCTTTGAGCTCACCCATGTAGTCCACTTATAGCCTGAAACTCAAGCAGTCCTCCAGCCTCAGCCTCCCAATTGCTCTACCATACCTGGCTCAACGTGGATTTACTGAATACTGCCTTACGTGATTTTTGGAAGGTGCCTTGGAAAAATTGGAATGTCAAATATCTTCACTCTTTATAAAGCTGGCTGCATTGTTTTTAAGTAGAAAATCTCCCCATTAAGTAACAAACACTTTAGGGTTATATCTGGTCACATTTGTAGGATTTTAGAGTTTTAAAGATCATTGTGAACCACTGTAGTGCTTCAGTTTGTCTTTGAAGGACTGAGGTAGAAGGAGGGGAAGGAAAAAGTATCTTCACAGAGTTGAGTCTGGGAGGTTGTCAGGCCCACCTCCCTTGTGTGTCCTGATAAACTGAGGTTCACAAGGCCAGACAGACAATGAAGTTAGATGGGTCTGGGTAGAAGGAAGCTGGTTTTCTGTGGACGAGGGGTTGGGTTGTGAGTGACCAGCAGTGTGGGGGAATGAAGTGTGGAGTGTGGGTGAAAGGCAGATTACTGTGTGGATCTCAAATTTCCCACAAGTTGAGTGCAGGAGAAAGCTGTTCTAAATTGAGTTAAGAGGCTGTTTGATTTGGATTACATCTTGTGTTTTGATTTTTTAGTTTTTAAAATTTATTTTTTGCCATGCTGGGGATGGGATAGCACCCAGGGCTAGGCAAGCATCCCACCCCTGAGCTATCCTCCCATCCCAACATTTTGATTTCTTTAATGTGCAAACCAGTTCAGAAAAGCTATAGAAACTTGGTATACTAAAGTATACCAGAAATTACCCAGGCCAGAAAGGTTTAGGGGCCTGAAGATTTATATAATTAACATTGAAAAAGTTTGGTGAAATTATGTTTTGTTGGTTGAAGAACTAGTAAAGAATACTTACTTTAGATATATGGAGTTTGTTGCAGAGCTGGAACTAGAATAAAAGGTTGCCATTTTGCCCAACATGGTACCCAGTGCTGGGTTTCTCCTGGGAGACAACTGTTAAGGCTGGTGATGACCGGGATACTGGGACTGAAGAAATTATAAGATAGTCTTAGAGCTCAAGCAGGTTATTCTTGGGTTAATAACATTTGAGAGGTTAATTGCAATATTGTTTTCTAACTCCAAAATACGTTTAAAAGAAGGAGAAATGGAAGAACTTGAAGGACAGTGTCTAGGAAGGTTTCCCAGAAAAGAGAAAACTGAAAGGAATGTGGAGGGGACCCACAGGATGTGTGGATCTAGGCAAAAGTAGGGAAAGAAATGATTATGTGAACTGTGAACAAATAAATAAAGGAAGCAGACATGGTCTCTTCACTGAGTGTTTTAGTGGTTGTGAGCTATTAAGAATTAAATTGGAGGGCTAGGGAGATAGCTCAGTAAAATAAGCACTTGCCTGGCAAGCGCAGAGTCCTGAGTTCAATCCCCGGTACTGCAAAAAAAAGAAAGAAAGAAAGAAAGAAAGAAAGAAAGAAAGAAAGAAAGAAAGAAAGAAAGAAATTGGAGGCTGGTAAGATACCTCAGTGGGCTAAGTGCCTGCTTAGGCAAGCTCAAGGACCGGGGTTCAATCCTTGGCACCACAGGCCAAGCTGGCCCCACCCCTCAGGCACAGTGAGCTAGCCACCAAGACCCAGCATGGTGATGCACGCCTGTAATCCCAGCCCTGGCGAGACTGAAAACAGGAGAATCACTATGAGTTGGAGCTGCATAGACCCTGTACCAAGTACATAAAATTTAAAAAAAAAGAAAGAAATTGGGCAGAGGGAGGCTAGAGAGAGGATGGTTAATGGTAAGGGAGTGCAGTTGGCTAGAGGAATAGTTTATAATAGTTGAGAAAACCTAGTAGACAACATTTTGAATGTTGCCAGCACGAAGAAGTGATGTGTTGCCTGCGGTGATGAATATGCCAGGTGGCCTGGTCTGATCGTTACACATTATGTGCGTGTATTGAAAGGTCATGTCATACCTTGTACATGTGTACAATTATATGTCAATTAAAATTTTTTAAAGATAGCTGTATTTTAAAATAATTAGATTAGACTTGAGGAGCAAGACAGTAACAGGCTCTTTGAACAACTCAGTTAAAGATCCTATGAATAGATTTATTCTGCTAATAGTATGTAACAAGAGTGTAACTGGTGTAAGGATTGTTTCTCTTTCATGAAAGTTGTTTATGCCAGAACTACCGTGAGATTTTTATTGGGTGGCTGGTGGCATCCACCAGAGGGAAAGCAAACACAGATAGGGAGCAACAGGATAGCCTCGGGGCTGGGCCGGTGACCACTGTGCATGCCAGCAACAGCAAGCTTGCTGAGTCACAGTGAGAACCAGACGAGGCAACCCACCTTTGCTCCTTGGTAGCCAGGCATCTCAGTGGGATTGCCCAGCCCCTCAAGAATGCTTTCTCACCTGTAAAATAGGGGTAGGAATACTTGGAAGTGATTAAAAATCATAGATCCTGCACTGGTAATTTGGACTATGGCTAGGTATGGGATTGCATTTCACCTTTTTATCAGAAAAATCTGAATCTCTAACTCATTAAGTTTGTATTGCAAATACAAATAGTGGTAACCATGTTAGATTTTATGAGCATAGATTCATTTTACACTTGGTGTATATAACATTTTGACTTGAGACAGTGATTAAGCCTTAGTAATGTTTGTCTTCCTTCAACCCTATTCTCCATGCAGTACTTAATAATTTGTTTTCCTCCTTAAATTCCAATTAATAATGACTGTTCTGTGGCTCTGGGTGTTCTGGAAGCCATTCTGAAAGGTTTTTCCTGGCTACAATTAGAATCACCTGGGTGTTTTGGTAAAGCAATTTTTCAGTCCCTCCTTCCCTGAGAATGACTTTGCCTGGAGCTCCAGGGAGTCCTTAGCAGCAGAGTGACTTCCTAGTTGATTTTGATATGTCGTAGGGTTCAAAGAGCAAGGCTTATAGGGCTAAGATGTCACCTAGGCAAAAATGTGAGGTAAGCCTGGGCCATTGCTGGCTACTCCCAGAAAGTCTGACAACACAGTAGAAGATGAGGGAGCAGGATGGATTTAGGGCTCGCAGAGGGTTGGAGAGGATTTAACTGGGTTTGAGAGGAGTTACTAATATTTACAGGCTGTTACTGTGACTTGATTATATCAAATACCTTTAAACCAGGCAAATTGTCACTTTCTTTTTTTGTTTGTTTTGTTCTGTTTTATAGATCGTGAGGACCAGTCAATTCTTTGCACGTAAGTAAATGCTGAATGTTCAGATTTGTTTTTAATCTTTTGAAAGCAGAAAGTAACTTTTCTGTATGGAAAAATAGAGCCGGAGTTTGATGTAAGTCTTGCTCTTGTTTAAGTCTAAGATTATATAAATAGCTGTAATTTGATGTTACTGTTTGGTTGGCAAACTGACCTTTTCTCATATTTTGTAATGTTAATCTGTGAAACGTCTCTTTAGTTTTTATCTCTTAAGTGTAGATCTATTGGACATTTCAGTAATTTATTCTGTTTACTCAATAAACATTAACCATCATGTCTTACACAGTGCGCTGACTAAGGATTTGTTTAGGTTTGCTTGCCAGGACCTACATAGATGTATATATTACAAGGACCATTTTGGCTGCAGTGTAGAAAATGGGCTGGGGGAGGCACAGAACCAGGGAGAGAAGTTGGGCTATTGGGTCATCTAGGCAAGTGTGGGTAGGTGGTTGTGAACTTAAAGAGAAATAGTTGAATTTGTGTTATTTGGTTTAAAAGATTTACCTTGGTGGTATCTCCTGCCACGGGCACATGGGAGGAAGAACAGCCTGCAGTGGAAGATGATGAGCTAGGTTTGGACACATTGTAGCTAAATGCTTGTGGCTGATCTCAGTGGCCTCACGGGTTGTGGACATGGAGCACAGGAGAGACCTCCGTGCTGGAAAGGCGGGTCTGAGACCTCCGTAGCATAGATGGTGATGAAAAGCCAGGCGGGCGAATGCAGGTGCCCTAGCAGGATGTAGAGAGAAAAGGCAGAGTGTGGGATTGTGAGAAAACCCGCCAGGCAGAAGAAGACCTTCAAAGCTGAACGATCCAACCAGGAAGCATGAGGTTGAAAGAGCAGGGTGAGGGAACAGGGCAGCCAGGGCGCAGAGGCCTTTGAGGAAGGGAAATTTGTGCCGTGGAGGGTGGTGGGAGCAGACTGAGTGGGCATGGGACGGGAGCAGCCAGACTCCAGGTAAGGAATGAGGAAGGGGAAAAGCTAAAAAAAAAGAAATTGAAAAACCATGCACAGACCTATTCTGTAAGTTGGAGAACATGGAAAATGGTGAGATATCAACAGGAGACTTGTACGGTATTATTGTTGGTGGCGTATGAGGTATGGCTGAGAGGGACATGGGGCAGAACAGGGGGAGACTTGAGACAGCAAGGAGGATGGGAGAGAGACCCTAATGGTAGGGAGGGAGCTTCAGCCTTCACAGTCATGGGCCGCGAGACCCAGGTACCTTGTGGGTAAGTACGGAGAGAACATTCTTACCTCAGGACTTCTCCCTTCCATGGAGTAGAAGATGTGGTATCTGACACAAAGGGAAAGGAAAAAGAGGATAGGTTTGAGGAGAGGAAAGTTTTTCTGCTTTGTGTGTGAATTTTCTTCAAATTTTTGTTTCCTAAGTAACAAACCACCCCAAAACTCAGTGGCTTAAAACAGTGTGACCCACTTGAGAGTTCCACAGATCTGGGCCAGGCTCAGCAGGTTCCCTAAGAGTCTCAATCTCGGGGCTGCAGACAGGCGCCTCCCCCACCCCAAACTTTGCTAAAGTGAGATAGCTTCTGTGGTTGCCAGTTGTTTAGATGTTTCCAGCTTAAAGTAATTTTCATGCCATTTTAGTCAGCTGTTAACCCCTTTATTTGTTTTTTGTTGTTGTTGTTGTTTTTGTTTTTTGCGGTACCGGGGATTGAACTCAGGCCCTCGCGCTTGCCAGGGAAGCGCTTATTCCACTGAGCCATCTCCCGGCCCCCACCCCCTTTATTTGTTTTCAAGTTGAATTCAGCATATATAGGTAGCAATAAGTAAGAACCAATATTTCATCTTTTGAAGCAAAATCTACACAGAAGGAAAGCATGCATCTTAAGTATACTTTTGCTGAGTCATTTTGTAACCTAAACCCCTGTTAAGATATAGAAGATAGTCGTGTCTCCCAGAGTTCCCTCCCCTCCCTTCAGTTAATGCCTACTCCCACCTCTTTTCATCTTCATTATTTTTCTTAGTTTTATTTATTTTTTTTAATATATATAATTTTTCTTTTTCTTTTTTTTTTGAGATAGGGTCTTATTTATTTATTTTTTTTGTGTGTGTGTGGCCAGTTCAGCCCACCAGGGAGCCGGGCTGGCTGGCATGTGGTGCTGGAGGATTGAACCGCGGTCCCTGTGCTTTTGCTTAGCTTATCTTGTTCTAAGTAGGTGCTTTAGACCACTGAGCCATCTCACCAGCCCTTTTTCTTAGTTTTAGATACCACAGTTGTACGTAATACTAGACTTGCTCGTATCTATTAGAGGTTACATTGGGAACCAAGACAAAATTTTTTTTAATGTATTTGGTACAGGGTCTCACTATGTAGCTTGGACTTGTAGAGGACCCAAAACTTATAAAAATGTGAAAGGACATACCCTAGATTTTGAAAGTGTGATGTTCTAGGGCAATGGGATGAACCTATGGCACATGCACAGGCTGTTTGTATCATTGAGAGCTCTAAAAGGTTCACCATTACTGCTTTTTTTTTTTTTTTTTTTTCAGTACCAGGGATTGAACTCGGGACCTTGCGTTTGCCAGGCAAGCGCTTATTCTATTGAGCTATCTCCCCAGCCCCCATTACTGCTTTAGGGCCTTTTGACAATCTGAATAAAGATCCAGGCTTGTGGCACAGTGAGTAATCCCAGCATTCAGGAGGCTGAGACAGAAAGATCCCTAAGTTGAAGGCCAGCTTGGGCCACATAGTGAGTTCAAGGCCAGCCCAAACTATATAAAAGACCTTGTCTCAAAAAAGCAAATGAGGTACTCAAAGATCATGTAACTGCTATCTTCTTAAATTTAGTTCACAACCAAACCTATTACATTGTCTTCAAGAAAAGTCAACTTTATAAGGTACTTATTTTATATTACGTTTTAATCATCTTTATTAGTACTTGTTTATGCACTATCACAAAGAAAATACAATTAGAAGCAACATGTGGTTTGTTCACTATGTATGTGGGCAGGCTGCCACCTTGTCTTTCAGCTTTCTTTTCTTAGTTACTTGCTCTCTAATGCACTTCCCTCCAAGGATCAACCTTTACCTTACACCCTGGTCTCCCCTCCCCAGTGCCTACAGGAACCTTTGCTCTCCCACTTTCCTTTCTCTGAACTCCCAGGCCCCCTGCTGGGCCGTTGTGCCAGCACCCCAGGACGCTCAGGATGTCCTGTCTCAGGAGAGCGCTAAGTCTTTCACACTCACACCCAGCGAATGAATGAAGTTGATGAAACCCTGTTAAAAATGTTGACTTTCCATTGTATTAGAATTAAAATCGATTAAAACAGTCACCCTAGGTGAGAAAATTGCTGACTTAATTATTAAGCTTCCTTTTTAGATAATAGTCTAGTTACGTTTAATGGCTCTCTGATTCCTGTTAGACAAGCTGGCTAAGTATATTTTAATGTAACACTTTTAAAACAATGGTTGCTTTACAGTACATTTCTATCAGCACTTGACACTTTTTTTGGGTAAAGGAATTTTATCTGTCATATACAAATAGTATATTAAGTGATGATAGAGCTACTTTTTGTTGATGGTGGTGTTTTTTTTGTTTGTTTGTTTGATTTTTTTTCTTTCTTGTCGTCTTCTTGAGACAAGCTTTCGTTATGTTGTTCAGGCTGGCCTGAAACACACAAGGAATAGTCCTCCTGCCTCAGCCTCCAAAGTGCTGGCATTATGACTGCGTACTGTCATACCCACCAGAGCAACCTTAATTGAGAACATATTTTAAAAGTTTTAAAATAATGAATACAATTGTTTATTAAATAGCTGAGGCAAAGTATAGTATAGTTAAAAACTATTTGATGGTCAGATAGAAGTCTGATATTTTTTGTTATCCCAGCCCCACCAAGTGATGCTAGAACCTCTCTAAATTCCGGTTTGTTTTTCTGAGTCTATTTTACATGTCCTTAAATCGTAAAACTTTGGAGATTATTAGATTGCTCTCTAGCAGTGTCTCACTTCTGGTCATAACTGTTATGGGAGAAAAAAGTGTGCAGATGAACATAAAGTTTTAGAAATTCTAGGCAACATTTTAATTTTTTTTTAAAATTTTATTTGCCTAAAATATTTAGGCAAATATTACAAGGGAATGAACATCTTTGCAAATCTTTTAATGTTTAGTGTCCCTGTTATCTCCATTTAGGACTTGGTATTAATGTGTTAGAGGGAGATTTGAGCTCAACTTTTCCAAATAAGCTGCTTTCTAAAGGAAAAGTTTTGAAACCATAGGAAATCACTTATTAGTGTACATATGGTGTGTGTGTGTGTGTGTGTGTGTGTGTGTGTGTGTGTGACACATATGGGGGGGTTAATATATATTTAGTGTCTTTCAAGTAAAGGAAGAACTTACCGCAGAGGATGTTTTTGAAGCCACACTGAATTTGATGTCACATATGCTAGAGTGAATGAAAACTAGTAGAGAAAACTACATTTTCTCACTGAGGAAATCAAGAATCAGAAGGAATTCAGAGGAAGAGTCCAGACTGATCTTGTGATGATCTCTTTTTGTACTTCTTTGTGCCGTGCTGTATGTTTTTGCTTTGGCTTGCACACCACTTTGAGATACAGTGAGAGCTCTAGGTCTCTCTTTACGCTGAAAAGTCCTGGGACCTGGTGACAGATGTCTGCAATCCCAGCACTCTGGGAGGCTGAGGCAAGAGGATCACAAGCTGAAGCACAGCCTGGGCATTTTAGTAATTTGGTGAGAATCTGTCTCAAAATAAAACATAAAAAAGGGCTATGGCTGTAGTCGAGTGGAAAGGCCCTGGGTTCAGTTACCTACCGTGTCTTACAACAAAACAATTAAAACAACAACGCCTGATCCTTTTATTTATTTATTTATTTATTTTGTATGTGTGTGGCCAGCTCAGCCCACCAGGGGGCGGGGCTGGCTGGCATGTGGTGCTGGGGGATCAAACCGCCATCCCGTGCTTTGCTAAGCTTAGCTTGTTCTAAGTAGGTACTTTAGACCACTGAGCCATCTCACCAGCCCAACACCTGATCCTTTAAACCCGTGTGCTTCAGCAGAGACAGGGAGAGGCTTTTTGTTTTATTTTTAGGTTAACTTCCTACTTGAACACAGTCTGTGAAGGGTTTACTTTTCCAAAAGAACAAGGTAATAGGAGCACAGCTCTTGCCCTAACTGGGCCCCCCAGTGAAACCAGCAGCTACTCCAAAGCTACAAAAGTGCTTTTCCACGTGTCCTGTTGGTAGGCAGGAGGTTACATTCCCTTTGCCCTCATCCCTCGTTGAGGCCTTGGTTTATTGTTCACTTTTGTGATTTCTTCAGAATTCTGCCAAGCTATTTTTTTGGTCCTCTTTCTCCCTTTGTGTTTGTTCAGGCTCCGTTTTATTTTCTCTGCTCCCACTTGGGTTAGCTATGCCATTTCGCATAGTGTTATGTTGTGTTCTGCTTTGTTTTCTATTTCCAAGAATTATATATTTCTGCTGCCTCCTTCATACTAAAATCAGAGGGGTTTTTCCCATCACCATAATTGATCATCATCATAACTGTTCAGACCATTACAGTCCCATGAGAGCCTTTGGCCAGGCACAGGGCTGGGCTTCTTGCACGTATTATCTCAGCCTTATGAGTGGTTTTATTTTATTTTAAACTTACAAACTACATTTTAGAGAAGCCCAAAGCCTTGTAGTTAGTGTGTGTGTTAATCAGCTTTCCATTTAGGAAATGTTTGTTTTGGCTCATGATTTCAGAGAATTCAGTCCGTGGTGATTGACTCCATTGGTTTGGGGCCTTGGTGAGGCAGTAACTTCATGGCAGGAGGGTGCAGCAGTAGAAAGCTTCACACATCCTGGTGGCTAGGAAGCAGCAAGGAGGCGGAGTCCCGATAGCCTAGCTGCTTCAAGAGCATGCCTCAGATGACCTTCCCGCTTCTGCCAGACTCACCCACCAGAGGCTCTGCTGCCTCTCTGTAGTTACATGGGCTGGGGATGAAGCCTTTGAAGGGGTGTCTTGTGAGGGGAGGGCGTTCAGGATGCAGACCATGACTGGCAACTGGTGGAAGGGTTTGAATGGAGGCAGCTGGTTTTACTGCATAGCCCATGTTCTTAACCACTACAACAACACTATAAATTTATTTAAACGTAAATTAGAGTATAGGAATTCAAATTTCCTTGTAAACGATAGCCGAGCTTTTAAGTAGGTGGTAATGTTTTTGAATACCATTTGCTTTAGTTGGATTGTATTTTTTTCTTCAGCAAACGTCTTGTTAGGAATTATTGTTCCCATTTTTTCTTTCCATAATTTTATTGATAAACAAATAGCAATGAGAATTGTTCCCATTTTGTGATGGAGAACTTTAAGCTTTAAGGATCTCAAACCTCTTGAAGAGACAGCAGTAAGGTTAAAATACTTTTATTTTAAAGTAGTACTTTCTGTTATAATTACTGTAGATCTGAAAAATATAAAATTCAGTAGAGTTCATAAGCAGTTGTTAAGGCTGTGTAAGTAAGGCAAGCAGAGAAAACATGTTTCACAGATGCACGGCAGCCGCTCCAGTGAGCAGAGTGTGCTGGGAAACCTTAGAGGGAGACTTAGAGAAAGGCAACCGTCACCTACTTTTGAGACAAGTCGTTAGCAGGCTAAATGGCAAGCTTATTTCTATAGCATAAGTGATGTATGTGAAACCAAGAGCCAGTGTGATTAGTCCTGAGGCACTGGGCATTATGAATAAAGTTAACCAGCAGAAATCATTTTTACTGCTATTAAGAAATTATGCTTGAGTAAAATGCGTATTCTTTACTCTGACCTCTAGGTTTTGTGCGTCCACCCCTTTCTGGCTTCATTAGTATGCCTCCTGCTACTCTCTAACTTGGTTGTTCTTTATATAAAATCCTACCAAGTGGCTGGAAATCCCTGGACCCCTCCAAGGGGGCTTTAGGGGGCCTTTGCCGCTGGTTTGCCATCTGCCTGGACATCACCTCAACTCTGTCCTGCCAGTTCTTGCTCACCCAGCACCAGGCATCTCCCTGGCCATCCCATCTGCTGGAGGATTTCCCTTCTCAGATCTCCTCACTGCGCCTTCCTTGTTTCCTTCCTCGCGTTCTTCACACGCTGTACCCATCTTAGCTGCTTTCCTTACTTATTTGCATCCCTTCTCCTAAACCTGACACACTCACAGCTACATCATTGAGCACTGAGAAGAATGCCTGCCAAACATGAGTCACTTAAGAGGTATTTGGGTTTTTTTTTTCCCCCCAGTACTGGGGATTGAACTCAGGACCTTGCACTTGCCAGGCAAGCGCTTACTCTACTAGCTATCTCCCCAGCCCTAAGAGATATTTGTTGAATGACTGAACGAATATGCTATTGAATGCAAGAGGGAAAAATCACTACCTTTCCATGTATCATTGCTAGTCAGGAAGTAAACAGAATGGTAATAAAAGGACATCAGGAACTCCTGTTACTAAAAAATAGTGGAGGTGGGAGACTTCCATCAAAGAAGAGAAATTGATGCCAATTCCTAAAAAAATAAAAGTCTGTAGGCATAAACTTAAGAGATAATGTGTAGGATCTTTGTTCATTCATTTATTCAATACTTTTTAAATTATAATTCAAATTGACATTCTTGATTATCAGGTAGGTTTGCTGTGATCAATCATGTCTTGGAGAACCTTAACTGTTGGAACAGATGCCATCATTCAGGTATCCCTGGGGGCCTGGCAGCTAATCTGAATTTCAGGTTTAGTCCTGAGTAGAAGTACATGCAGTTTTTTGAAAGATACCAACTCTGTTTGGAAATAGGAATTATATAAAGTAGTGGTATGTCTCCCTGTTCACAACAAAATTCATATAGTTTTATTCACTTTGACAGCAGTTTACCCACTGCCTATGTGTCAGCGCTGGGTGAGGGTAAAACAAATGGATAAAAAACAAAGACACACAAATACACCCACCAGGCCAAGCCAAGGGGGCAGGGAGCTGGGCGCAGGCCCACAGTCCGTGAGAGGTCTGGGTGAGCTGCATGACAGGGGCCACGTCAGTGCAGAGGACAGCGTGTCCTGAGGCCTGCTTGGGGGGTGACTCCCAAAGCTCTCAACAGCTCTAAAGATGAAGTCAGTAGCCAGCAGGCCTCCCAGGGCTGTCTGCTCCTTCTGAGTGCTTCAGGATTTCTCTTCGCCATGTTGGTGTTTCTGCCACAGACAGAATTTTCTCATGAACACTGTGATCAATTTCTCTTGTTTGATGGAAGTCCTCCTCCTCTCCTACACACACACATAAAAGTAAAATGTCTGGGAGACATTTTCTTTCTCATTGATATCCACCAAGAATTATTTACTTGAATTTAATACTTTTGTAAAAAAATAAAAAATTTATTTACTATTGATAGGGTTTGTTTTTTTTTAACCTCTACTAGTCTCATTTGTTATTTCCTGTTCTGTTTCACTTTGATTATATCAGTTACAATTTTTGAATGAATGCACTGTACTTTCTTTAAAGTCTCTCATGTTAATATTTCTTCTAGGGGTGAATCGGGTGCTGGGAAGACAGAAAATACTAAGAAGGTCATTCAGTACCTTGCCCATGTTGCTTCTTCACATAAAGGAAGAAAAGATCATAATATTCCTGTAAGTTTTTGGCTTTGTTGTTGCTTTTTGCTTAGTTCTAGTCTTCTATAATTTTAGAAGTAAAACCAAGGAACACAGCTGCACATATAGTGTCCTGAGTGACAGCTCCTATGTCCCCCATCTGGTGACTCTTTTGCTTCACTCAAGAAGAAGATATACAGAAATTGCCATCAAATAGATTTTCTTATAGGGTAAATGGGAATTATGGTATGGTGAGAAGCCTAGTTTCTTGCAAAGATTTGTTGAGGATGATTAATAATTGATGAACAATGCTTATGTAGATTTCCAATTTTCTACCCCCCAAAAGCTCCTCAAATAGTTTTACTACTTCTTTTTCAACTTGCAGAGTGGCCCGTTACTGCTGCGCATGGCAGCTTGAGGGGAGGGGAGATATGGGAAGGATCAATGATAGAAAAGACAGAAATACAGAGTCTAAATGTCAGTTATCTTTGACTTTTAGAGCTGCAGAAGGGGTAGTTGATACAGCCTGAGAGAGTGCCAGCCAGGCCAGCAGCCACGTCTCCAAGCAGCTGCATGCTGGCTTGGTGCTCGGATGTGGCTACTGCTAGGGAAAGACACAGACTTGCTAACATTTGCTTATCTGTTTGTAACAAACAGCAGGACTCACCTAAACCCGTGAAACACCAGGCAAGTGCTTTTCTTTATGCTTCTTGAGTGTTTGCACTAATTTCTGTCTAGATTGAGTCTCAAAGCAGATACCTCCTTAGTTCTGAGTGGAACCTATTATTTTTTCACAATATTTCATTTTGAAAATTTATTGCTTCTTTCATAAGATGTAGCATGCTGTTTTGCGTTACACTTATTTTCTGGATAAAGCTTAAATTTATCTTTCCCTTTTATCATGACATTGAACTGCATGCTTATGAAGCCTATAAATTTATGGTTTCATCTTTCAAATACGAGGCACAATCATCTTAGTACTTCCAAAGCACATGAAAACCTAATGTGACTTTTTATATTTCATACCCATGTGTATTTTAACCTAAAGGCCTCATATATTTAGTATCCAAGTTAGAACTCTCTTTGTGCTGTGTAAGGAGTGGAGTGTATTCCTACTTACCAGATGCCTGTCCTTCAGCTCTATAGAGCCCAACAGTGAATAAGCCACAAGCCAGAGCAGGACCCCCATCTCCTGCTTCCTGGAGGAGAGGGAGGCAGAATCAAGCCAAGAGTCCTTGGGTAGAGTGGATCCCCGGCCTGGGACCTAATCCTTTCCCTTGCATTTGAACAATTTTGGTCTGTTTTCTGCACAAGTGTGACAATATAAAGCTAATAGAAAACAAGAAACAATAATGTGAAATTATAGAGATGATCAATGAATAAAAAGAAATGATAGTATATACCTAAAGGAATCATCACAGCTAATGAAATTCCCAGATCTCTTTTTTAAAATTCTTCAAGACACCAGAGCTATGTCATATGAAGGCCTGTGATGGTCTTTTGTTCCTGTAATGCAATCCAGGTCAGCGATAAGAATCAAAAGGTTTAAGGACCTAATCACTGTCCTGTGGGCTTCCTTACCAGTTAAAGAAGGATGATACAGACCAGAAACAAGCTTTTACAGCACACTGTATGGATTTAGGTTTTCCAAATCCTCTGTGGAACGCAGGAACCATTATTGCCAATATCTCATTTCGATGTCATTTTAAATGAGAGTGGATCCCTGTTGTTGTAAGTAGCATGCCAATCTCTAGATATTACCGTGGGTCCAGTCAGTCCCCAAAGAACAAGTTCTCCCAAAGAAGGTGGCTGCAGCGTTGGCCGTGCTTTGCTGTCACTGCTGGCTTGCATGTCTACTGCATGTACTTGCTGTGCGCAGTCCCCTATACTACCCTCCCCAGGTTTATCTTAGTAACAGTCGAATGGTCACTGTGTGGTGATGTTTTTAGAAGTGTAACAATACTGGTTCTCAATTTTTCATCTCTGGCTCACCTGAGGAATACTCAGCAGCATGGTTGGAAGTGGTCACACCCTGGGCTGTCCTGTCCCAACATTACTTGTCCGTGCTTGGTGCACCTATACGTGCTCATCGCATTTGGAGAATGATTACTCATGAAAGTCACAATATTTAAATAAACTTTAAGCAAACATTCACCTGTGAATTGTTGGTGAATTTTTGAAGCAAAGTTGTTTGTCTTCATGCCCTTAGTACCTGTTGCCCACCAGCCGCAGGCCCGGTATCGTTGCCATCTCTCTTCATAGTTTGCTGTGAGGGACCCTCAAAGTCCATCACAGTGTGTGTTGCTGCTACAAAGCCTCAACACAGTGCAGTGGTAGAGCAGATTTGAAAACGACTCATTTCTCAAACATGACCCTTCTCTAAGAGTGATTCTTTCAAGCTGGGCCACCTACCTCCCTGCCTTTCAGGTCATCTTCAGGATGGCTTTGTATCCTTCCTCGGCCTTCCTGCAGTACCTTGAACAGAAACAGGAAGCAATAGCCAGCAAGTGACAGGTACAGAAATCAGAGCCTGCCAGTTGAGCTTAAAGTCTGGCTTCCAGCATGTGTTTGGCTATGGCCTCCTGCTTTTAACCCTCCTTTGGTGGTCAGTACCTCCTGATCTTTACCCTGCTAGGCCTGCATGGGGCAGCATGATCCCTGGCCCTGGCCCCTTGCAGGCTGACCTGGAGTTTTGCAAGAGGGATATATTTCTTAACCATTTCAGATTCATGCTACATTAGTCAGCAAGCATATATTGTATACTGTCTGATAAACACAAAGGATGGTTTTCACCACATTTGGTAAACCTTAAAGCATTATAAATTTCCAAATATGTAACACACTTTAAAAAAAAAAGCAAGCAAAAACAAGCTTCAGTTACTACTGCTATTTTTCTCTCCTATATTCCCAAATAACCTTTCTCATAGAGTAGAAACCAAGACCAAGCTTGGCGACACACCCCTATAATCCCCACTGCTTGGGAAGCTGAGGCAAGAGGATCATGACTCCAGTCAGTGTGAGCAATTCAGTGAGACCCTGGAATAAAAGATAAAAAAATTCAGAATAAAATTTAAAAAAATTAAAACAGGGCCAAGGATATAGCTGAGTGGTGGAGTGCTTGCCTTGTATGCACAAGGCCCTGGGTTCAATTTCCAGTATGGAAGGAAAAAACAGAAACAAGGGACCTTGGGGCCAGGGAGATGGTTCAGTGGAATAGCGCTTCCCTGGAAAGCACAAGAGCCTGAGTTCAATCCCTGGTTCCGCAAAAAAAAAAAAAAAAAAAGAAAGAAAGAAAGAAAGAAAGAAAGAAAGAAAGAAAGAAAAAAAGAAAGAAGGGACCTTGTCCTTCCAATTCTAATAGAAAAATAAATTCATTCACTGTTCTCAGATGACTTATAAATATATATATTTTTTCTTTTGGTTTTTTTTCAGAACCGGGGATTGAATTCAGGCCCTTGTGCTTGCCAGGCGAGCTCTTATTGTACTGAGCCATCTCCCCGGCCTCCTAAATATATTTTGTTGAGAGATCTTAGCACAATTTTACTTAATTTTGAAATTGTTCACAGAAATCATGTTTCTTGCTAATTTCTTGAGTGTAAAAAAACCATTTCTGTCTGTTTTATAATGTTGACTTTGTGTCAAGCTTTTTGGAATGTATGAGTTTTTGAGATCTTTACTTCATCTCATAAATGGCACAGATCCATTTAGAAGAAAGTAATATGAACCCATTAGCGCAGTGGAGACAGAAGCGAGGGCCCAGAAATGCGGAGGCTGCGTTAGGGTGGCGGCGGCGCAGGCCCTCAGCCCCGACCCTGCTGCCGCCTTCCACTCGCCATCACGTCCTGCCCCGACATGGTGATGAGAGCCGTAGCTCTCCTGCACTGACTCAGACATTTACAGAGCATCCTTGTCTCTGGTACTGACTGACCTAGGTGGAGGACATGTAAAGGAAGGGACAGAAGCAGTGGAACACACACACACACTCTCTCACTAAGAAGGAAAGAAAAAAAGACTCAGAGTGTCCTCATAGTCACTATCTAGGGAATATGAAAATGAGATGCTTTATTTCCAAGGTAGGGAGTACTTCGATTTTTGTTGTTCATATATTGTTGGTGATTTCCCCCTGCCTCCGTTGCTTACCTTACTAGAGATCGAACACAAGGCCTTCATGTAGACACTGAACTACATCCTCAACCTCTACCCCTTTTTGAGATTTGGTCTAGGTTGCCCAGGTTGGCCTCAAATTTGTGATCTTCCTGCCCTCAACCTCTCAAAGTGCTGGTATTACAGATGTGTGCCACCATACCTGGCAGGGAAACATCTTACAGAGATTATGAAACTCTTTTAATTATGATGTGGCAGGATAGCATACACTTTGTCTTGTAAGTGTTTGTAGGTCAGTAAACTGGAAGATTCACTCTACAGGGAGGAAATCATCAAATGCCCCAGTGTAATGATGCACAGGGCCCAAGGTTCTTAGCAGGATTGGCTCCTGACTGGTTTCAACTGAACACTGTTTCAGACTATAGTTTGTCTTCTTGCAGCATAAGGGTCTTGGGACGCTTCCCCACCTTTCTAGCAAGATACTGAAGCTTAGGTCTTAGCTTGTCTAGAATGTCACTATCCATTAGGAGGGTGGTAATACCATGATGTGTATTTCTCCCAGTTTTGGAAATTGATAGTAATACGATGAATATCACATGACAAATGACCACTAATTAGAAAATCTTACATGAGGGTCTTGGTGTGCTTAGAGAATCACATTTGCTACTGGTGCCTTTTTTTCTCTAGGTCTAGAATACTGCGGGTGTTTTTAGATATAGGGATAAGATTTGTGTTTGGAAAAATAAATTCATTTAAATCATGAAGGTAATTCTGAAATTATATTCCAGAAGTACAACATCTCTTTTTAGTACTTTTTCTCAGATAGAAATGGCATCATGCTTTCTTGTATTTCCTGAGTAAAACATTTGTTAATATGCATCCATCTTTTGTTGGTAAAATATTTGGTCTAATTTGCATATAAATAAAGTGAGTAAAAGATGCTTTGTACCAAATGCATTATTCTTAGCCTTGTCAATCTGGGCAAGAGAGGACCTTGGCATCTTTTCCTTGCTCTGAAAGTGGAGGTGAGGACCTTACTCTGTCTGTGCTACCATGCCATGTTGAGCTACCACGTAAAAGAAAGCCTTTGTAAAAATGGAAAATCTTAGATGAACCACAGAGGGGCAGTTATTCAATTAGTCTGTTTAAATCTATCAAACAAGGCAGAGTAAAAATAAAGAGAAGTGTTAGGTATTAATATGTTCTTAATTGAAATCATGCTAAATTTAATTTTGTGGAAACAGTTGATTTATTTTATTTTTAAAATTCTCAGCCTAATTTAAATTTATTGTCTCTGTCCATTGTGACACTTTCCTCATGGGAGTCCTCTCTGGAGACCAAGTTTGTCCTTTAACAGAGCTGTATCATAATGAGGAACAAGAAGCTTTACAAAATGAGGAAAGGGAAAGTTTGTGTGGGGTTTTTTCTCTCTCTCTTATTTTTTTCCTGAGGACTGGAATAAAAACATGAGACTAACACACATCTGTTTGTGTGTGTGTGTGTGTGTGTGTGTGTGTGTGTGTGTGTGTGTAATGTCTTTTAGGGGGAACTTGAACGGCAGCTTTTGCAAGCAAATCCAATTCTGGAATCATTTGGAAATGCAAAGACTGTGAAAAATGATAACTCATCTCGTTTTGTAAGTTTAAAAACACCAGAAACTTTTAATTTGTCAGCTTTCTAATTAAATGTCTACTGTGGTTAAGCAATACTGTGGTTAAGCAAATGAATTTATTTTCCTAGATCTTTAAGATTGTTAAATACAGTAGCCACGTTCTAAAAGAGCAATCTGAATGTTTAATTGTATTTATTATGTAGAAATTATAATGATATGGACATGTAACTACATAACTTCTGTGAACTTCTTTGTTTTTAATGTTATGGGCTTGGTATGGAGATAAAATGACAGGTGTGTTGAATCTGTAGCATTGCAGCAGGCATAATACATGCACAGTAAACGAAGCTGGCATTAGATAAGGTAAACTGTCCTTTTTGTGTCTTGCTGTCTCTGTGGGATGTGGACTTCAGAGTAATTAGTTACTACTGTTGATTTTCTTTGCATTTTTTCTTAGCTATTTTAATTCCTTGAAAACTTTTCTGTCCCTCTGACTAGCTCTTAAATTTATCTGAGGGTTTTACTCTATTATCCTATTAGTGTTAAATTATTTAGGTTATTCAGTTTGATTCTGTTTTTTTCTCCAGCTTCTAAAATATTACTAAAAATCAAAATGGCCAGGATAGAAGAGATTTAGATTTTAACAATTAACTTTGGAAAATATGGGGAATCTACGATCATTGTGCTATACCTTTTAAAACTAAGCTTACAAAGTCCTGGTGTATGTGACAGTTTTCTGGTCACATGATTTCTGGAGTTAGTGGCAGAATCAGATTCAGTTGTCACAGTTTACCCAATAAACAAAAGGTGTACTAGTTTCTAAAGCTATCATAACAAAGAGCTACCGAGTGGATGGGATGGATAACAAAAAATTATTTTCCCACAGTTCTAGAGAGTAGAAATCTTGAATCACTGTGTCAACACAGTTGTTTCCTCCTGAAGTCTCACTCCTTGGCTTGAGCTGGTCATTTTCTCAGTGTGCCTTGACATGATCTTCCCTCTGTGTATCTAGGGGGATACCATTGTGTTCATTAAATTAGGCCCACCCTCTTGACCTCATTTTAGCAATTCCTTCTTTTTTAGGATTATTATTTTTTTTTCTCCGAATGCCTTCAGGGCAGGTTTGGCTGGCTTGAGTTGTGGGGATCAAACCACAGGTACTTGAACCTGACTGCTTTGGGGAAGCAGCCACTTAAAGAACTGAGCTAGGGCCAGGCCTCCAGCACTTCCTTCTTTAAAGACCCTCTTCCCAAAGATAGTCACATCCTGAGGTATTGAGAATTAGGACTTCAGTGTATGGCCTTTGGGACAAGGAGCATCATTCAGCCCATCACGCCCTTCACTTCCACTCAGAGGTCAGAAGTGTCCTGTATACAAAAGTGAAGGGAGGGCTGGTGAGAAGGCTCAGTGGTCTAAAGCACCTACTTACAACAAGCTTAGCAAAGCACAGGGACCACGGCTCAATCCCCCAGCACCACATGCCAGCCAGCCCTGCCCCCTGGTGGGCTGAGCTGGCCACACACACACACACACACACACACACACAGAAATAAATAAATAAAATTAAAAAAAAAAAAAAGGTGAAGGGAGTGCTATACCTGTATTAGGAGGAAGCAGCTCTGTGACTTTGGATTTACAGAAGAACCAAGGAAACCAAGCTTCTCTTAGGGTTCCTGTCATTCCTAGGATCATGCCTGTTGAGTCTGTGCCACAGTTAAATCTTGAATTCTTCCTACTGAAAAGCCCTATGTTTAGTGGCTGTGTCATGGGACAGGAGAAGCAGTGAGCTCCCCACTTTGGTATGTGATTCTCCACAAAGATTTGCAAGGTCTTCTTCATGGAAAATCTTCTACCGCATAAAGCATGATACCCGTCTATCCTGACATTTCCCCTCCTAAACCACACTCTAAATTCAGGGCAAACATTTCATCTTGTGCCCAGTTGTCTCATCTTTGCCTGGAGAAGATAAATTGCTACTACACTGTCATTTGTGTTCTTTAATAAAAGTGTAATGACTCACTGAATGATAAGGGTTTCCCTCCTGGGGGGGGGATGTTTTCACTCATTATTTTTTAATTTGGGACAGATATTAATTGTATATTAGTTGTCTATGATTATGTATAAATGGCCCTAAAACCAAGTGACTTGAAACATTTCACAGTTTCTTTTTTCTTTTTTTTTGTATTTAGTGTAGGGTCTCACTACACAGATTGGACTTGTAATGACTCTCCTGTTTTCAGCTTTGCAAGTACTGAGATTAGACGGGCACCACCACGCCCAGTCTCAATTGCTGTCTCAGTGTGCCCCAGAGGCAGGGCGGGTAGGGCAGGCCAGGGATCGAACCTCCAACCCCTGCCTCTGCCTAAGCAGGCACTTTAGTCCACTGAGCTATCTGGCCGGTCCTGTTTCAGTTTCTGTGTGTCCAAAATTCAGTAGCAGCTTAGCCAGGTGGTTCTGGCTCTGGCTGTCTTGTAATTATGACATGGTTGCTTAGAGCAGCACTCACCTGACTTAGGCCAGAGGATCTTCTCCCAAGCTTTCTCAGATAGCATTTGGCAAGAGGCTCTAGTTCTTCATAACTGCTGGCTGGGGGTTGTCGTTCCTAAGTACACTGACATCTCCACAAGCTGCTCAAATATCCTCAGAGTATGGTCACTGGCTTCTCAAAGCAAGTGATCCAAGAGGAAGCCATTCATTGTCTTTTACGGCCTCGCTTTGAAAGTCACCTGCTATTACTCTGTTGGGTTATACCAGCCAACCCTGACAGTATGTGTGAGGGGAATATGCAAGGGCATAAACACCAAAGATGAGGATCGCTGACTCCCTCTTGGAGACTGGTTACCACAAGCCCTTAGAGGAATCATCATTGTAATGTAATTGGCATTACTCTAGATGAGTCTTAAATGGGGACTCACAGGGGAGTTGTGGAGTCATTTTCATGTGTTCAGCTATGGATAAAGGTAGTGGTATGCCACTGGCTTCTGGCCAGGAGGGGGCCCTGGATACTGCTAAACATTCCACAGTAGATAGGACAGAAATCACCCAGCCTCAAATGTCAGTTATGCTGAGGTAGCAAAATTCTGCTCTAGAGTGTCCCTTCAAATTACTGCCCAAGCTAAGGTAATCACTTTTGGGCCAGCCGAATAGCTCATCGGATTAAAGTGCCTTCAAGCAGGCGCAGGGGCTGGAGGTTCAATCCCTGGGCGTACTGTGCCAGCCCCTCCCCCAGGGCATGCTGAGAGGGCGAATGAGACTGGGGGCAAATGAGACTGGGGGCTGTGGCGCGCACCTGTAATCCCAGCACTTGGGAGGAGAATCACTATGAGTCTGATCTAGTAGTGAGACCCTGTAGACCCATCCCTAAAATACAGAAAATAATAATAATAATATAATCAATTTCTATAATTTATTTGCAAAGTAATACACAAGTTTCCTTAATGCTTGTTATGCATCCTACTCCAATTGTTGATATAAATAATTTTGGTAGGAACCTATCTCACATTCTGCTGGAAGAAGAATTTCAGCGATTGGTTTTTAGCCATTCTAAAGCAGCACATAAGGAAGGAGTAAGAACCAGTCATCCAATCTAAATGCTTACCAATCCCTGTTTCAGCTAAACATCACCTTCCAAAGTGTTTGCACTATTTAAAAAACCTGTAAAGGTGGGATTTATAGAAAGCTGTATGGGGGCTGGGGAGATGGCTCAGTAGAATAAGTGCTTCCCTGGCAAGCGCAAGGGCCTGAGGAAAAAAAAAAAAAAAAAAGAAAAAAAAAAAAAAAGAAAGAAAGAAAGAAAGAAAGAAAGAAAGAAAGCAAGCAAGCTGTATGTAGAAGTCAAAGACTGATCCCTGATCTTTGTTTTCATAGAAAAAAAATTTTTTGGTTAAGGTGGTATTCTCAGACATAGCTATTCATTCAGCCAAGAAACAAAGGTATCATCACATTGTTGAATTTTGGCTTTTTAATGTTTAAAAGACCAGTGCTTATTGATATAGATAGTATATTTTTATTTTTTTAGATAATATATTTTAGGAAAAAATAGCTCCCTACTATTATAAGGCATTAGCTGCACAACACTAAAACAAGTAATTGATTTTAATAGTTTCATAAAAATTAAGTAACTAATACCACTGATTGAATAATGTTCAGTGAAAGGATCCCTTTAGTATTTCTCTGTGGGTGTTGCTAACACTTTGGTCCTCCATGGGTTTGAAAGTAACCCATACTGACTCATTTTTTTTTCAGTTACACTATGACTAATGTTGATTGTTTGTTCAGTTCAGTTAATGATTTATGATGTATTCTTTGCCAGGCAACACTGGTGCTTACTTAACATCTCCATTTAGACATCTACTAGATTCCTCAAATTTAAGATATCCTAAGTGGAAATTTTTCTTCTCATTTCAAAATTTACTCCTTTATATCTTGTGTCAATAAATGGTACTATCAAATTACCTAATTATTTGAGCTTAAAGCAAAATAAAAGCAGTGGTAGAAATCTGGGAAAACAAAACACCTAGGAATCAGACTTGATTTGGCCTTTTGTTCATGTCCTGTGTCCAGGTTAACAGTGAATCCTATGAGTTGAAATTCCAGAACATGTTGCAGATCTAGCCACATTTGTCTTTCTCTCCTAACTACTCCATTAATCCCAAATCCTACCTCTGTAGTCCCGTTACTTCCTCTTGTAGTGTCACGTATATTTCCCTCGTTAGTACTTAACACAGTCAGTAGCTAATTACTTTGCTTACTTACCTTTCCTCCTATGAAAATTTATGGTCTCCTACAATAGGAGATTCTGCCTTTTTCTCAGTGTCCTAGCGCACAGAAGTACATAGAAGGCATGTTTATGGAATTCATTTAGTTAAAATGTGGTAGCCCGCTCTGTGCCAGACATTCTTCTTGGCCTGGAGAGCATATCAGTGGGCACAGCTAAAGTCAGCAGCCCCGCAGGATGCACCTCATTGTGGGTTGAACTCTCAAGTCTTTTTGATGAATGCCTTGAGGCACGCTTGCTCTCACCC